TAGGAGATCTGGGCAAAGAGGCCAGCCCAGGGAGGGGAGGCAGGTGGGCCCCTTTCCCCTGTCCTTCACCTTTCTAGGGCCCACCCTTCTGGTTGGGAGGGAGGTAGAGAAGTTTTATGAAATTGGGAAGCCTTTCAGTCAAGGTGCCCACAGTTGCCTCTGGAGTGTGTGTGGGGGGTCCTGCCTGTAGGAGGTGAGGCATTGGGTAGAAAGGACAGCATTTTTCAGAAGCATACTGCTCACGAGGGTCAGGGAGTGTGCCAGCTGTGAAACCACACCCTGGGTCTGGCTCCTACCCATGGGGTTGGAGGTGGGGGTGGGATATGCTCCTCTGTCTCTAGGAGGGATGCAGGGCCTGCTGCCAGGCCCTAGGGAGGTGAGGCTGCCAGTCTGGTCTCCAGAGGGCACCAGTGGAGGTTGAATGACCAGAAGTTACTTTTTTTTTTCCTTGAGTTTCATTTTTAAGTAATCTCTACAGCCAATATGGGGCTTGAACTCAGGACCCTGAGATCAAGAGTCGCCTGCTCTTCTGACTGAGCCGGCCAGGCACCACAGACCAGAGTAGTTCTGAATGGCCAGGCCTCCTGGAGCCCAGGCTCTGCACACAGTGGGTGTCCAGGCTAAGTTGGGGCAGTTCCCATCGGATAGGTGGTTGGAATTGTTCTCCTGGGCTCTCTGCTTAAGCAAAGATCACTTTTACGTTACTTTATTGTTTTAAAAGATTTTATTTATTTATTTTGGCGGGAGGGGGGAGAGTGTGCGTAAACGGGGCAGAGGGAGAGAGAGAATCTCAAGCAGACTCCATGCCGAGCATGGAGCCTGACATGGGGTTCGATCTCATGATCATGACCTGAGCTGATATCAAGAGTCAGATGCCCAACCGACTGAGCCACCCAGGCCACCCCAATGATCACTTTTATTTTAAAACGTTCTCTCATGGCCTTTGAAAGGCTGGGCCAGAGCATGTTCTGCTTTTTGTGGGGTGCTAAGAAAAGAGGCCTGGAAGTTGGCCCCAGTCTAGCCTCCCCATGAGCCCTTGAGGCCATATAGACTGCCTGGGATCATGGGCAAGTGGGGCTCCTAATGGGGTGCTGTTCCATGGGTCAGGAGGCCATGGGGCTGTGCCTCCGCTGTCCTCATTGGCCTTTTGGCTGCTGTGTGTTTGGGGGGCAGGGTGGGGGAGTCTTCGGAGTATCCTTGGCCTTGGGCTTTGACTACCTACTGAAGACCCACAAGGGCTGCCGAGCCAGATGGAACCAGGAGGGAGACAGATTTGTTCGTGCTATGACCACTCTGCCCTCATGAACTGCTTCCTGTGTGCCCAGGTTGAGTGAATGTTAGCTGGTAGTGAGCTGCTGAGAAGGGCATGTCCTCTGGAAACTGTTCTTTTTCTATTTGTTGGAATTTCTGTTTTCAGTTTGAGGTAAAATTTATATGCAACATGGTACCCAAATTTCAGGCAACCCTTTGAATTTTGACCAGTGAGTACATCACCTTAACAAAGATACAGAGCTGTGCTCTGCCCAGAAAGTTCCTCGTGCTCCTTACCAAACAGTGCTCACCTTACCCTCCACAGGGTCTTTTGATTTTGTTTCTACCATGGAGTAGCTCTGTATTTTCTAGAACTTAGTTTAAATGGAATTGTGGGCCTCTACTCTTTGTGTAAGGTTTTCTTGACGTCATGATTCTGAGATTTATCCATGTTCATGCATCAGTTTTTGTTTTTTTTTTAGGATTGTAAAAGTACATGATTATTTTAAATTCTGAATATTACAGAAATGAATATACAGAATTTATAGTTTTCCTGTACTTTCCCCCCCCCCCATCTTCAGAACCTCATTTGTTGATTGGGTCTTTTGTGCCCCCAAGATGTTTCTTTCCACAGGATGGCATTGCCTGGTCGGGCCTTTCGTGCCTGTAGTAAGGAGGGTAGACTGGAAGGAGCAAGCGGACAGGTGCAGGGAGCTCGGCCAGCTCCCTTGGCTCAGCTCTGTGGGCCTGGCCTTCCCTTCGGTGGGTGTGTGTGTTTTGTTTTGTGTTTTTTAAAGATCCTATTTATTTATTTGACAGAGACACAGCGAGAGAGGGAACACAAGCAGGGGGAGAGGGAGAGGGAGAAGCAGGCTTCCTGCTGTGCAGGGAGCCCGATGCAGGGCTCGAACCCAGGACCCCGGGATCATGACCTGAACCGAAGGCAGACGCTTAACGACTGAGCCACCCAGGCGCCCCTGGGTGGGTGAGTGTTTTAAGTCTGGGGTGTCTGGGCCTTGGGCCTGCCCTCACCCTCAGAGAGAGAGAGAGAGAGAGAGAGAGAGAGAGAGAGAGAGTGTGTGGCGCGCATGTGGCACGTGTCTGGCTTTTCTCTGGCAGGGACTTGGAGGGGGAGAAAAGGGCATGAGAATTCAGCAGAGACCTGTGTAGTTCTCTGCCTAACGGCCCAGCTGGGTAGGTGGGGGTGGACCATTTTGTAAACAAGGACCTGGGAAGGGAATCCAGGTGTTCTAGCCAGGTCTCTCTGTTCATTCTTCCTTCTGTGTTCACAAGAAGCCAGAGCTGGCCTTCCCCAGGGACTCTTTTCCTACTGCCCTTCCCCCAGGGTCAGCCTAGCCAGGGTCTCATCTCCCCTGCCCTGGCCCCCCCCACCCCCCGCCCAAGATGGGCTAGGTCTTGGCCTCAGAGGAGTACCTGAGGATCCCACTGCCCCAGATCCTGGGCTTCCTGGAGCCAGTGCTCCGGCAGGCAACGGTTCTGAGCTGGGTGTGGATCCTTGGGGCTGATAGGCACGCTGCCTGGGCCTGCTGCCAGGGGGCTGCTGGGTGCCAGGAGCTGGTGCCAGGCGGTATCCTCATCCCAGCTTTGTGGGCTCCTGCCAAGGCTGGGCACCAAGCCCCTGTACCCGGTGGGGGACTGCGCTGCCAGCTTACTGGGCCAGCCTCCACGGTCATATTTCTCTGGCACCCTGCCTCCCCTGGGGCTGTGGCCTCTCCAGCATAGGTGCCTGCTCCTCCTCCACCCCCTGTTGAACTGTAGGGCAGAGGATTGTCTGCTTGTTACTGTTGGCTGGGAAGAAAAGAGCAAGGCTTTGCAGGGGTCCTGGCCCTGCAGCAGTGGGGCGCCCCCTCCGCTGTGGTGAGGTTAACATTGGTGGTGGCGGCCTGCCTGGCCCCACCTGGGGTGGGAGGCAGGTAGGGTGGCATTGTGCCGGCTCTGACCGCCCAGCAGGCAGCCCCACTGTGGCCCCACCCAGTGGAGGGCACTGGGAAGGCAACTCAGCCCTGTCCTGTGGAGTCCCTGTGGGGAAGTTGGGCTCGAGAAGAGTCATGTCTGACCCAACTTCTGAGACCTTGGTCAGTCACTCTGTCTTTCCGTGGCTGGTGAAGTGGCTGGCAGGGCTGGAGCAATGAGTTACCTGTGGAAGCCCCCGAGTTCTGTTCTGCTGCCCCCTCTTTGCGTGGTGTTCAGTAGTTGTTGGCCTGATCTCTGACGAGGGCAGGTAATCCCTAGTTGCAGGGTCTGTATGTGCTAAATCTGGGGCCACGGTGTGGATGCTGTGCCCCAGCAAGGCTTGGGTTGCCCTGAGATCTGGTGGGGAGCAGGCAGGGTGGCACAGGGCTGTGTGGTGGGGATCTGGTAGGCTCAAACACATCGCTGTGGCTCCCTGTTCATTTTTCAGGGCTGCTCTTGCCAGCGCTGAGGTGGTCTCTGCCCCCCTTCCTAAGGCTGAGCTCTACTCTGTCCTGCTGGCCACTTCTGGTGTCACTTGGCAGGAGAGCCTGAACTCTCTACACACGCAAGGGGTCCAGGGCCTTCATTAAATGCAGACGAGGGCGCCTGGGTGGCTCAGTTGGTTGGGCGACTGCCTTCAGCTCGGGTCATGGTCCTGGAGTCCTGGGATCGAGTCCTGCGTCCGGCTGCCTGCTCGGCGGGGAGTCTGCTTCTCCCTCTGACCCTCTTCCCTCTCGTGCTCTCTATCTCTCGTTCTCTCTCTCTCAAATAAATAAATAAAATCTTTAAAAAAAAATAAATGCAGACGAAGGTGCTCTCAGGCCTCTGGACCAACAGAACTGGTTCTCCTGCCATCTGGGCCATGGGTGGGATTCTGGACCAACCGTTCCCCCTCTCCACTTCCTCACACCCCGGGGCCACCCCATGAGAGGAGGACTGTGCTGGGGGCCAGAGAGACAGCTGGCTGGCTGGAGCGGAGGCCTCCCAGCCACCCCGCACCCCGGGTCTGGTCACATTCCTGAGGGACCTGCTGAGCCGCCCTGGCCCTGGGGGTGGGGGAAGGGCAGGCAGGGATGGGCTCCAGGCTGCTGTAGGCCTCCGCCCCCACCCTTGGCTCCATTCCAAGGGAGCCCAGGCTTGCCGAGTGGGGTGCAAAAAGCCAGAACTTCAGGATCCCCCTCCCTGGGGACCTGCATCTCTGGGGGAGGCAGGGTGGTGGGGGCAGAAGGAGACCTTCGCATCTGGCGGCAGCTGGCTTTGGCGGGCTGGTATTGAAAGGCCAGGCCTGCAGAAACTCCTGTGAGGGGAGGCCATGTGGTCCGACTGGGCTGGGCAGGAGGGGGCTGGGCCCTCTGGGCAGGGAGGGGGTGGCGGGAGCAGATCAGGAAGGGAAGGAGGCAGGAGAGCCAGAAGCGGTTGAGACTGGTTCTTATAAATAGCCCATTGCACTAGTGCCTCCAATTTTGACTTTTTGTCATGTAAATGTGGCCAGCCTGAGAAGGGCCTTGCCCAGGCCGCCTGCCACCAGCTCCCCCACAGGCCTAGGTGGCCCTGAAGAGTACCCTAATTCTTCTGGGTGGGAGGAGAGTGCAGCCCTGCTGAGCTCTCCAGACCTGTGGCCTTCCCTGCCACCGGGCCTGATGGCTGCTGGGCACTGCGGCTGCCCCCGGCGCCCCAGCCAGAGAGACCACCAGGTGCCTGTCCCTTTACTGGCACTCCTTCCTGCCCTTGGCTGATGTCTGCCCGGCTGACCCTGTCCATCTTCTCCTCCCCAGGTGACCAGGCATTGATGCACCCCCAGGGAGGCCGCGCGCTCAAGGAGGCCACCCCCGCTGGCTGCTGCGCACATGGTTTCTGGGCCCCTGGCACTCCGGTAGGCTGGGGAGGGGGAAGCGTGGGGGAGGACTACCTGGGCTGCCCACACAGCCCTGCAGTTCGCAGCCTGGCCCTTTGTGTGCACACACAAAGTGCTGGGTAGCATGCAGGTGAGGCTGGGGCCCACTGCCCTCAGCCTGCAGAGGAGTGGCTGTCGTGGCTCACAGGCTTTTGGAGGACGGGACCTCCTGCCCTTGGCCCGCACTCTCTTGCCAGCCTGGGAGCACCAGGTATCCTGAGTGCTGGTGGGGCTGACACTGCATTTCCCTGGGGCTCGGTGTCCCGACCAGTGTGGAAACCGTGCCTTGGGCTCTTTGTCCCTTCCTGGCTGGCTGAGGGCAGGTAGGTTCCCTCAGGACACAGGCTCTAGCCTCTGAGCCCCAGCTGAGCGGTCTTACAAGGCTATGCTGGCTGAGCGGGTGCTTGTTGCCTCCTATTAGGCCCTGAGTGCTAGTTTGTGGCCGTGTCTACCCATGTGTGTTCACAGTTCCGAGGCCACTTTTGGGGTGTGCGTGGTTATTAGGGTTTTCCTCTGTCATTGCAAATGAGGGCAGGCATGGGGCAACGGGGCGCGGGAAGTGTTTGTGTTACAGGAAGGCAGCGTGGGCGTGATCCCCTCAGACTCTGCCCCAGGGGAGGCAGGACTGGGCTGGGTACACTGGTAGAGGCAGAGGGGTCCCAGGTGGGGCAAGGCTCAGAGCAGTCACTTTCAGAGATTGAGCCCTGAGCCGAAGAACATGAAAGCACCCTTGTCAACTGCATGGCACAGAGTTGCCTATGGGAGGGTGCATGTTCCCTGAAGGGCCGGAGGGAGCAGGGAGCCACACCTTGTGCCTCAGGTCCTGCTGCTCATTGGGGTGGCTGCCTGGTTGGAGCACCCTGCTCTCAGATACCCATGTGCATGCTGTTGCACAGCCCACCTGCACGGTTCCCATGGAGGTCAGAGGCCTCTCTGTGTTTATTAATGGCATCAGTTAGCATCTGTACTGGTCTGGCAGGGCCAGCTGGCTGCTTTTCCTGGGGCCCCGGTGGTGCCAGGGGCTTGACCAGGCCCCCGTTTCTGCTCAGCACCTAGAGACCCCGGCTGGGGTGCTCAGGGCCTTCCCGGGGGGCAAGGCCCTTGTGGGTTGGGAGCAGGTACTGGCAAGGGACTGTGGCTGGACTGCAGTGTGTCTGCAGGCAGGACTGAACGTTGGCAAACCCGAATTGGGAAGCCACTAGGGTTTGAGAGGCACCCGGGACAGAGCAGAGGTCACAGATGGAGGCTGCATATTTGATTTGGCCCACGTGGTATTGAAGGAAAAAGAACCTTTATTTGGCATTGGGAGATTCAACCTGAAAATCTCAATTTCTAGCTTGTCCTAAAAACTGGGAAGTTGCCTGCCCATGTGGGACGTGAGCCCACCTGGGAGCTTCTACTCACCTCAGTCCCTACTGCTTCCCAGCACCTCACAGTCCCCTGCTTGTCATTTTTTAGTTTCCTGTGGGCTTTTGGCCGACTTCTTTAGCATGGAGAGGGTGACCTGGGCTATGGAGCCAAAGTCACATCCCATTTTCTCCCCTCGGCACCACGTGACCATTGTCATCTGCTTCCGTGCAAATGGGACCAGTGCCCTGTCCCTTTTCGGGCAGCTCCCCATGGGTAGTGTGAGTTCCTTCCCTGGGTACCATGCCTGGTGAGGAGGCCTCCCTGAGCACCACCACAGCCCCACCCTGTCCCGGAGCCCTTGCCGGAGGCTCCCAGGTGGCTAATGCCCATGCGCCTGTTCTTGCCCACAGGTGGTACGCGTGGGCGGGGCGTGGGGACATGGGGCCCGACATGGAGCTGCCCAGCCACTCCAAGCAGCTCCTGCTGCAGCTGAACCAGCAGAGGACGAAGGGCTTCCTGTGTGATGTCATCATCATGGTGGAGAACTCCATCTTCCGTGCTCACAAGAACGTCCTGGCTGCCAGCAGCATCTACTTCAAGTCCCTGGTCCTGCACGACAACCTCATCAACCTGGACACGGACATGGTCAGCTCCACGGTGTTCCAGCAGATCCTGGACTTCATCTACACGGGCAAGCTGCTGCCCAGCGACCAGCCGGCTGAGCCCAACTTCAGCACTCTCCTCACTGCCGCCAGCTACCTCCAGCTGCCTGAGTTGGCAGCGCTCTGCCGCCGTAAACTCAAGCGAGCCGGCAAGCCCTTCGGCTCCGGTCGGGTGGGCGCCACCGGCATGGGGAGGCCGCCCCGCAGCCAGCGGCTGTCCACAGCCTCCGTCATCCAGGCGCGGTATCCGGGGCTCGTGGACGGACGAAAGGGGGCCCACACCCCCCAAGAGCTCCCCCAGGCCAAAGGCTCGGATGACGAGCTCTTCCTCGGAGGCTCTAGCCAGGAGGGTGTGCATGGCCTGGGCCGGGCTGTCTGTCCAGCCAGCGGAGGGGAGGCCGGCCTGGGTAGCTGCAGCACCAATGGGAGCAGCGGGGGCTGCGAGCAGGAGCTGGGCCTGGACTTGTCCAAGAAGAGCCCTCCCCTGCCTCCTGCCACCCCTGGTCCCCCCCTGACCCCTGACGACTCGGCCCAGCTGAGTGACAGTCAGCATGGCTCGCCCCTCTCAGCCTCTGCCCCTCCTGTTGCCAACAGTGCCTCTTATGCTGAGCTGGGGGGCACCCCCAATGAGCCCATGGACCTGGAGGGGGCCGAGGACAACCACCTGAGCCTGCTGGAGGGGCCCGGCGGGCAGCCCCGGAAGAGCCTGCGGCACTCAGCCCGCAAGAAGGAGTGGAGCAAGAAGGAGCCCAGGGTGGGGTCCCCCTTTGAGCGGAGGGAAGCGGGGCCCAAGGGCCCCTGCCCAGGGGAAGAGGGCGAGGGGCTAGGGGACAGGGTTCCCAATGGCATCCTGGCCAGCAGCGTTGCAGGGGGTGGCCCCAGTGGGCCCTACGTGGAGCCCCCGTACCCCTGCAAGGAGGAGGAGGAGAACGGCAAGGATGGGAGTGAGGACAGCGGGCAGAGTGGGAGCGAGGGGGGCAGCGGGCATGCTGGCACGCACTACGTGTACCGACAGGAGGGCTACGAGACTGTGTCCTACGGGGACAACCTGTACGTGTGCATCCCCTGCGCCAAGGGCTTCCCCAGCTCGGAGCAGCTCAATGCCCACGTGGAGACACACACGGAGGAGGAGCTGTTTATCAAGGAGGAGGGTGCCTACGAGACGGGCAGCGGGGGCGCCGAGGAGGAGGCTGAGGACCTGTCGGCGCCCAGCGCGGCCTATGCGGCCGAGCCCCGGCCCTTCAAGTGCTCGGTCTGCGAGAAGACCTACAAGGACCCGGCCACGCTGCGGCAGCACGAGAAGACGCACTGGCTGACCCGGCCTTTCCCCTGCAACATCTGCGGCAAAATGTTCACGCAGCGCGGCACCATGACGCGCCACATGCGCAGCCACCTGGGCCTCAAGCCCTTCGCCTGCGACGAGTGCGGCATGCGCTTCACCCGCCAGTACCGCCTCACCGAGCACATGCGCGTGCACTCGGGCGAGAAGCCGTACGAGTGCCAGCTCTGCGGGGGCAAGTTCACCCAGCAGCGCAACCTCATCAGCCACCTGCGCATGCACACCTCCCCCTCCTAGAAGCCAAAGACCCTGCTCCCCGGCCCGAGGCTGCCCTCTGCAGACTCGCCCTCGGGAGCCAACCGAAGGAAGAAAGAAGCACGGAGGCCGGGCGGGAGGGGCCGGGACCCCCAGATCCCGTGGGGGTGGCTCCTGGTGGCACCTGCAGCCAGCCCCGCCCCCCTCCCCCCCCCCACCCAGAGCTTTAATGGACAAGTCTGTACCAAGGGAAGCGAGAGGAGGGAAGCCGACAGGCCCGAGCTCCAAGTGCGCATTGCTGGTGTGCAGTCTACCTCCCAATTCTGCCCTGGCCCCCGGCTCCCTGAGAGGGGCCGCTGCAGGGCCTGTGGGAGTGGGTCACAGGGGTCTCAATGCCCCTTTCCCGCAGGCCGGGTCAGAGCAGGGGGAAGTGGGGGCCTCCCTCCACTGGGGAGGAGCGGGGCTGCCCCGTGGCCAGGGGCGCAGTCTGTGTGCGTGCACGAGTGCTTGTCTGTGTGCGGGCCACCCTGGCTCTTTGGGGAGCGGTGCCGGAGGGGAGGGGACAGAGCCCTCCTTCCTCAAGCCAGGGGTCACTGCTCACTGGCGCTGGGACAGTCAGGGGGCCCCCACCGCCTACCTCTCCACAGCTAAAGAGCCCTCTGGGCCTATGTTGCTGTTATTCCTACTGATCTGTTCCTTTTTTCTTTTTGAATTTTGTTTTTTAAACCAAAACCAACAAGAGTTTATTTTCCTCCCGGCCCCTCAGGGCTGAGCCTGGGTCTGCAGACTGAATGTACAGGGGCAGCTGCCCCTCCCGCCCCTGCCCCGGCTGTGGGCTGAGGGGTGCCCACCCCTCCAGGCCCCAGAAGCCCTTCTTGGCCAAAGGCTTCCCTGGGCCCCGAGCCCCGCCTCGGCTGCCTCAGGAGAGAGAGTGATTTTCCTATAGTTTCTGAGGAATATTCTTTGTTTAGAGGTACTTCTTTTTTATTAAGAGAAAAACCAGTGTAACGTTTATGTGAATGTTTGAACTGGAAGGTCTGGGATTTGTGGGGGGGGAGGGGGGAGGCTGGACTCCATGCCAGAGCCGTCGGTACTCTTCTTTTTCATTTTCTGTGTGTGTGTGTGTGTGTGTGTGTGTGTGTTTATGTGTGTGTAGTGTGCGCGGTGCACGTGGACAGATAATTGAGCTTTCCTTCCTTCCTTATTGATCAAGGTGGAGAGACTTCTGACCTTTTGCTACCTCTTGAATCCACAAGAACAGTATGTTGGTGGCTGGCAGCTGAGGCCGGGACACTCAGTTTCCTCCTGTTAGTGTGCGCAGGAAGACTGGCATGTGAGTGAGCCTCCTGGGCTCACCCAGTGCGCTCACGAGGGGCTCTGCGGCCCAGAGCGCGCGGCTTGCCGTGTCCACCTGCAGGTGTTCTGAGTGTCGCTGAGCGTCAGGGAGCCGGTGTGTGCTTCTGATCTGGGCCTGGGTTGCGGGGGCAGGGGGGGGGCAGTGAGTGCTTCAGCCCCAGCCCCATGGGACATCAGGGCGTGGAGCCTCACTGCCAGAACCAGCTCCTTGCAGCTCCCTGTCAGGGCCAGGATGAGGTGGAAGTGAGCCCCCCCCATCCTGCCCTTGGGCCTGCGAGAGCCGGAGCTTGGGAGAGCAGCAGCCCCTGCCAGGCCAGTGCAGAGGCACGGGGAGGCACTGACCAAAGTGATGTATACCCCCTTGGGGGACAGGGAGGGGGCCTGCCCTGCTTTGGCACCTTCTCAGGGCAGTCCTGGCCGCTCTGGCAAGAGGCTGGCTGCCACGAATTGGCTTGGCCCTGTCTGGAGTCCCACCCTTTGCCCCTCACTGTGGGTTTTCTCTGCCAGCCTCAGGACCCTTCCATGGGCCAGGGGTCAGGCTCGCGAGGCCAGACCAAGGTCGCTGTGGTTGTCCCTGCTGTCCTTGGCTGACTGGAGCCACAGGGCTGGGCCAGCGGCTTTGTCTTCATTTTGCTTCATGCTTTTTTTTTTTTTCTTTCTACTTTTAAGTTCAGACCAAAAAATTCTAGAGTCATCCTCAACCCTCACCCCTCCAGAGACCCTCCAGCTGAAAACAGCCTGAGTTCAGGGACCCGAATGGTGAAGGGCGTGTTTTGCAAGTGAGGGCTCCTGGCTGAGCCCATCTCAAGGCGCCCCGAGCCCCAAGTTGGGTCTTACTCCCTCTGGGTGGGAAAGGAGCACCGGACCCAGGGTCTCGTGTTCCCCGAAGTCAGGTGAAGGGGGCAGGGTCCTTTCCAGGCCTCTCCACCCTCCCGACCCCACCCCACTCCGTCAGCACTTAAGCCACACGACACAAAGTCTGTACCACACGGGAGTTGTACGCATGCGCGCGCCCGGCCTGTGTGTGGCCTCTTGGGCTGTGGGCGGCTACATTCATGAGGTGACCCGTGAGAGTAGGTGATTCATTTGCAGAACTTCAGGGACTGGGCGCAAAGGCCCCTCACTCAACGACGTTCGTGCGACATAGTATTGTACCCACCTGAGTATTGTATCGAGCCTTTTCTGTATTTTAACAAGAAAGCAAAACACTAGTTTCCTATTTAAGATTTTAAGGGTTTGTGGGGAGGGGTGGGACTAACACAACACTTGGTTTTGTTTTCTTTTCCCTTTGATTTCATGTGGAGTGTGTGCTTGCGAGTGTGTGCGTGGAAATTTGTTAAGAGCCTCACAAGGAAATTAGGCTGTTGGAGGCCAAGGGCGGCTTACAGTTCTCTGCTTTAGTCACTTAATTCCTGAATGTTTCGGAGAAACAGGAAACAGAGAAAATAGCAGATGTCATGTAGGAAAGAGAGGATAAACAAAACAAAAAAAAAAAAGAAAAAAAAGCTCATACCCAAATTCACAAAACCTATTTTTTAAACCAAAGCACATTTTGAATGAGTATGGAACCTCAATGGGCTCAGAAAAAAGATACTAATATATTTATCTCATTGTTTACATAAACTTTTACAGTTTCAGACCTCAGCAGCTGTAAGGCCAGTCCCAGTGAATCCCCACCTTGCGCTGGAGGCCCTTCTGAGTCAGCTCATGGGCAGAGGGGCGGCCGGGGCAGGCACGGAGGCCCCCTGGATTCACCTGAGCCCTCCTCCCCAGCCCCAGGCCTCTCAAAGCCCACCTGGCACCAAAGAGTGTGGGCCGGTGCTGACCGGCCCCCAGGCCTCCTGGCCGGACCGTGGGGGTCCCGGCCAGCTGGCACAGCAGGGGATGGCCGTCGGCTCGGGCCCTGGGATGGAGGACCCCCCCATCTCCCCCACTCTGCCTGCGACCCTCGGGGTGGGTTGATGTGAGGGTCCCTCTCAAGCCAAAAAGCCCCGGGACCTTTGCACAGCTCCGTTGACTCCAGCACCCCCACCCCCACCCCCAGCAGTGGGTGGGGGGGCTTACTGGGCTGGTCCTTACCAACACAGTCGGTGCAAACACTCTGAACAGTGTTGTTTTTGTATCAATATGTTTGTGCAGTGATGAATGTATTTATTTCTCAGACTTGGGGCGAGTGAGCGGCCGGCTCTGCCACTGCTCGCTCCCACCAGACCGAGCCACCCCAAGGGCTCCTCCAGGATTGCAAAAAAAGGTAAAAAAAGAAAAGACAAACCTTTAAGCAAATAAGAATCTCAGAGACTCGCAGCATAGCCATACACCTCAGCCTGTGAAATGAACAATCTGGACCTTGACGGACTTTTGGAACCTCATGCAGCCGTGTGTGTATTTCCTGTTCGTCACCACTCGGGGGCGCTGGGCTGTCCCACTGTGCCCCCACCCCCACCCGGTCAGTATTCACTGGACTGGGCCGAGTGCAGGAGTGCGATCTGGGCTGGGCTTACTGGGCAGGCAGACCCTACCGCCCTCCCTACAGCCGTCCTGAGTGGGGGAGGCCTGGGCAGCCAGGAGGGCAGGGCTCAGGGAAGAGGTGGCTGCATCCGTCCGCCCCCTAGCTTGGGGGACGAAAGCAGAGGCACCAGGCCTCCGAGGAACAGACAAGGGATCTCAGCCCTGCTGTGCCCCTCAAAGGGACCAAGGCCCTTGCTCTTCCCCAGGGTCACATTGGGGCAGATGTTACTGAACCTGTGAATCCGATGCCAGGAGTGATGGGATGGAGAGGGACCTAACCAGAGCCTCAGTGTGACATTCCAGATCAGGGGGTGGATGTGCGCTGTGGGAATTGAGGCTGCCCAGGACCCCCTTTCTAGGACCCCTCCCCCATCAGCTTCAGTCACCACTTTAATTTTTCTACCGGGAACCCCTCCCCCTACCTCACCTTGCTATTTATTGCTGTAATTTATTGACCTCAGAAATGCTGCATAACAGACCTCACTTGGGGCAGGGAGGATCCCCAGGGCTCCCCCCCTCCACTTGGCGGGGCCCCGTGGGGCCAGGTGCTGAGGGGAGCCTCTCTGTATCCCACCCATCACTTGTTTTCCCCCTCCCCCCTTGGGGGACCCCAGGTTGGGCACCTGCCCATTCGCAAATACCTCGAGGGGGAGGGGGAGGGGGAGGGATGGGGTTATAGCTGTTTTGTTTAAATCAGAACTGGAAGAGGGATCATGTCCTACTCTATTCCCTTCCCAGAAGGGGGAGGGACACCGTGATCGCACTCCTGTACTGGCCACCGCCGCTGTCAGTCATCACATCGAGCTCACGTTGAGAGTTTGGATAAATTCAGGTCAGAGCTGCAGGTATGCAGCCCTCAAGTGTCATAGAAAAGCAATTCACCGACGACTGATCTCTCCATTCAGAAGCGTGCAGTCTTAATGTACAGTGATGAGAAACTGTTATTTTATGATCTTTTCATTAAAAGCTTGATTGAAAACTATCTTATGTGGGGCTTCTGTGTCCTGTGGTTGTTCTCTCTTACGAAATGACATACTGCTTTCCTTTCTGTGTCCAGCACTTCTAAGACCTAGGAGGGCGGGAGCTGCGATGGGCATTTGCCCACTACTGTCCTAAGGGTGGGTTTCAGATGGGGCTGGGACCTCACTTGGCCACTTGTATGCATCCCGGGCTTGGGCACTGGTCTAGGGACCCAGCACCGTAGAGTCAGCATCCTCTTGGGCAATGTTGTCCTGGGTTGGCTAAGACGGTTTAGGGAGCAGTGGGTATGTCGGC